TTTTTGTACAAATACCTTATTAATTAGTTTTATTTATGTTTTGACAGTTTTGTACAGTTGTTTTTACAGCAGGTTTAAAAATATCAACCACAAATAAATAAGAGCCTGGTGGTTAATATTTTTATATATTCTGTATCCGATTTCTGTAGTACATATAAATTTAAATATATTTATATTTCTATAAAATTGTATTGCATCTATCAAAATTCTTAATTTCCATTTTTTATGTATTTTGAATATATTTTTACAGCTTACTTGATATATTATAGAATAATTCTTTTTAATAAAATGTTGAAAATAAATCAAATCAATAAAATTTTCAATTATTTATCTAAAATAAAGATATTTTCTTATTTATATCATATCTCCCTCCCGTCCAATATTTTACATTATACCACTAGTTATAATCCTTGCCAATATGTAAAAGTTGTATAAATCGTATTATTTTATATACTTGATAAATAATGACATCAAATATTACAAAATTTACTAATGTAAACATTTTAATTTCAATTAGACTGATTTGTGATTTTTAAATTAAAAAGTGTACTCCTATTAATATTACAAAATAAGTAAATGGACTAAGTACATCAACGGTTGTAAACAAAATCCATAACCATGGCATCGTACTTAAAACGTTTAAAAAAATCAAGTAACAATGAAAGGTACAAAAATTACATGTTTAATTGTTTCGGTTGTGGTTGGAATCATAATGTTTATAATGTAATACATTAATTTAATATACATTAATTTAATACATTAAATTTAAAAGGTATTTCAGTTAAATAAAAATTAATAGCAACAATATAAATTATAGTGATTTCAATAATTTGCTCACAACTTAAGTACTGTTCTGTTATAATTAAGACATTGTGAAAAAAAAAATGTATTAGGTGTATTAAATTACCTTGTTAGATTAAATATTTTGTAATAAATTATATTTGTAAGTAAAATTTGTATTTTTGTAAATTTAACAAGTCCTGTTTATTTTGGTGAATTGACTGACTTTCTTACATTATTTTATTGAACTTACTTATTACTTTATTAGAATGACTGTTGAAATACTGCCTTTTATTAATTATTTTTTAGTAATTGTATGTGTATGTATGTAAATGTAACATAATAACACAAAAATAATATACCCACATGACTACACTATACAGTATGTTTTAACTTTTAAGTATTGTCAAGAACACTTTCAATACATTTGTGCCAATGAAAAATAGTGAATGGTTAAATGTATGATGTAAATTTATTTTCTTAGTAAAATTAATTAACTAATCACATCTCTAAGTGTTTGTAGAATAGTCATGATGGCAGTCATCCATTTACAAAATGCAAGTTAAAATCGAAAATAATAATAATTGATTACAAATATTTAAGAACAGCAGCAATAAACAAAATACAAATTAAGAACAAAACTACCGTCAGAAAGTTACACTATACATGCGCTAAGAGGAATAACATCACGGCTCTTTCCAATTGACATCGGCCCATGCCGGCATAGGCGTTTCGTACGCCCAGTCCGGTCCGCTGTACCTCAAGGCGTGTAGATACATGACAAGCTCTGTCGGTTTTGGATCCTTGTAACGAATTTTACATTCCTGACAATGAACATCAACAGTGAGCTTTTTCTTGTCGAATCCAACGTCAGGCACGTCGATTCCCGTTTGTACGGAGACATCGATCATTGCACAGCTCTTCAGCTCACCATTCATGGGTTGCCGCTGCTGCGGTGCAAGATTACAGATGCTGTTGTCCGTGGTAGTCGGTACAACCAAAAGTCCATCATCAGCCGCTGATAGAACAGGAAGTTCGTCGTCAGCCGCCGGTATAACAGAAAGTCCGCTATCGGCCACCGACCAATTTTCGGCGTTGTGAGCGTGTATCAGATCCCGGACTAGTTCCTCGTCGGTCTTGCCAAAATTTCCATTTCGCCCCTTCTGCGGACCGAATACCGTGTCGTTATATAAAGGGTCATTTTGGATAGGATGTCCCAGGTACTGCAAATGTACGCGGATTTGGTGCATGCGGCCCGAACGGGGCTTACACAGCACAACGCTGGTGTTCGTCTGTTCGTTGTACCCAATCAGCTGGAACGAGGTACTGCACTGTTTCCCGCTCGGCGACACCTTGCACACACCGATCTTGTAGCTGATCACTTCGATTGGCTGCTCGCACTCGACCGAAACGGGAAACTTGCCTTCGACGCGGCACACGTACTGTTTGTTCACGACTCTGTCCCGTATCTGAGACTCCAGTTTCCTCGCCCTGTTCTGTGTCCGGCCGAACATCAGAACGCCACTGGTTAACCGGTCGAGTCGGTGGATGGTTTTCAGGTCCCTTAGACCGTACTCTTTCGCCAGCACGAATATCATGGTGTTGTGCCTGTAACGGCCGCAAGGGTGTACGGGAATGCTGGAGGGCTTGTTGACCACCACGATATCGTCATCCAGGTATATGACGTCGATCATACCGCTTGCCACCGGCACTTCATGCCTGTGCACCACGTTCGCCAGTAGATCATTATGCTTCAGAACGTAGTCTGGAGACACGCGGTCGTTATTTATCGTCAGCGATCCCTTTTCGATGTGTCGTTCGTATTCGTCGGACGAATGAGCGCGAAACTCCTCGCCAAAAACGTCCATCAAGGTCCTGCCCACCCAACGTCCTTTGGTATAGGTGGTGAACGTGAAATAATAAGGATAAACTTTCCTCAGACCGTTTTCGATGTAATAAGATGTTTCGTCGAACCTCTCAGCCGAGTAACCAGGTCGCGTTACAACCGGATCCAGTTTGACTTTCTTGGGCTTCTTTGCGTGCCCATCCAAACTGTTAAGTTTGCGTTTGATTACTGACGATACATCTGAGTTTTCTTGGCCTTCGTTTTCGTCCGTGGCCGAACATTCGTCAGTTTCAGAGTTGATTATTTCTGAAAACTTTCTTAAGGAACACTGTACACCGACGTTGCGAGTAGGTGAAATTGAATTTTCAAATATAATATTTTCCATATTTTTCAGCGGAACAGCAAACAATTTCTTTGAGAACAAATGTATAAATCGCTGAATCCCCAGCCCAGTTCGACGTACCATACGGAAAACATATAATTCTGTGAACAAATTGTAGAATCAAGATTAAATAATATTGTAATACATCATCATTCAACACAATACAAAAATACAAATAAGATAATATTATACCAAGCACCAAAATATATTTAATGTAATGTTATTATAATAATTATTTTACCCAGCCTTGTATAATACATTAAAAGTGACACTTAAGCAACTAAACAACTGTCAGTATAACTAGTAAAGGCTGGCTTAACAAACAGCCGTGGATCAGTTTTTTTAAGGCCCCATAATGAAATACAAAGACCCTCAAAATTGTGTCGAAACAACATATTTTATTAAGATACTTCCATAAATATACTTTAAATTTTTACCAATATGGATTGCAGTATAAAATGTACCTAGATTATAAATTATAATCATTAATCAACTATTACCATATACTTAGTAAGTCCACAATAATCATAAGTTAATTTAAATATAAAAGTAACTTAAAAAATAATTGTTTGAAGTAATAAAACATAATATTAACACACAGTGGTTGTAATAAATAATGACGACAGCAGTCTTATAGTTAAATCATAGTTGAGTATTATTTAGTCGACAATATTTAAAGAAAAACATTATTTATAAATGATAACATTTTGTCATGATATATAATATTAACGTGAAGCCTGAAATGGGGAATTATTAGTTTAATAATAAACTATAAAACTATTGAATCATTTGAAAATACAAAATAATAAATTATTATTATTAATTACACAGACACAAAATTACAAAAACCAAAATATTATATTACTATTATACAATTTCAATTGTGAAAACAAATTTATAAGCTATAAGCATAATATTGTTTAAGTTAACTTTCAAAAGTAAATGTCCAATCTTCATCATTACATATTATTTATCTCAATATTTATACATATATAGGTAATATTTGCATGATCGCTGAATCCAACATAGGGGCCCATGCAGGGTCCGACAAGCGGGGCTCTGTGGCTTTGACCAAGCTCATTTTTTTTATAAGAAAGGAAATAAAACCTATAATTTAACCTGCAGTAAGGCTGTTAATCCAAAAAAACCTCCTCTTACTTTTTACTTGACACTTGTACTACTATGCCGTGCTCAAACTATTATAAGTGAGCTTCTGATTATTGATCCAATTTTAGGACATTGCAATTTTAGGATGGCCCTGGGCACTGTAAAGATAAATTGGGGTCTAAAAATTACGAACAGTTGAATATTTTGATAAATACTTTACTGGGTCCCTTATCCTTATATAAACCAGGAACGCGCCAAGCGAATGAAAAATTTACAATAGCCTAAAATCAAAATGAAATTGCAACATCGACTAAATTTGGTCTTTAATTATAAAATATTCTACAAGTCCACTAATAATTTTAAAAATTAATAAAAACAACAAAAGCATGAAGCTTACCTGATATAATAATTTTGTCATGTATTCCTAGATATTCACGCAATACAGGCAATTAATTAATCATGGCGTAACGTTTTTTAACATGAAATATTAAACAATGTTTGAAGTTACAACTATAAATTCAAAATTTCAAAACTGAATAACAATATTCAACATAATATCGAATATCGAACTGCGGTCTGCGAAAGATAGGGAATTACTCACGATAAACACGATGTTTGATAATAGGTATGCTATGAGATAGCCCGAGTGATGCCAAAAGAAAAAGCTCGAGTCTTGGTTAATCTCATAGATAATAAAGAATAGATAGGCCATTGCTATAAACCAAATAGAGGGTCGTGTGCCGGAATGGGGAAGAGAGAAAGACTGATTTTATCAATGCCTCTCATTCTAATAGCGGTCTTATCACAGAATAATCAACAGAATATTCTGTGGTCTTATCATAAATTATTTTCTGTGATTACTCTCAATGCTCTCATAGATATTAGATATTATAAATTATATTACTGTTATAAATTTAAAATTATGTACTAAATTATAATTTATAATTATATCTGTAAAATTATTATAAATTGTATTATTCGACTTGTTTACTCCTAATTGTATTCTATACAAATTTGTATATTTATAATTGGAACTATGGTTCATACGTGCAGAATTTGTAGTCTTTCATCTAACGATAATAAAGATCTATCATTTCACAGGTAGGATTAATATTAGTTGAGATTTAAAATGTTAATTGCTCATCAGTCATCACAAATAAGTCAAAAGTGTATATGAGCAAAATTGGCTTTAGATATTAAATAGTACCTAATAATAATTATTATGGATAGATTTCCGAAGAATTTGGAAAAAAGGCAAAAATGGGCATCAGCCTTAGGGGTGCAACAAATTGGTGATTGGCATTACGTTTGCGGAAATCACTTTAATCGTGACAGTTATATCTTCAGCAACACTAGAAATATATTGAAGTCTAATGCTATACCATTGTGAGAATACTATATTTTAATTAATAATGCAAATTAAAGTATAAAATGTAGTTTAAAAGAAACTTTCTTTATAGCATTGTTCAAAATTCAGATGATGAATCTTGCTCACCGATTATTTGTTCTTCTGCATCTGATAATTATTCGCAGTTTGTATTTGATTTGTTATAAGTTAAAATTAAATATTACCATTACTGTACAAAATATTATTAGCCATGTTTGTTTTTCTAGTGTCAATACTGTAAATTCTACTTCAAGTATTTTGAATAATGTGTAAGTATTTTATTTATTATTACAAATTTAAATTTTAAAAAAAACTTTCTTTTTAGTGTTGTTCAAAATTCAGATGATGAATCTTGCTCACCGAGTATTTGTTCTTCTGCATCTGATAATTATTCACAGTTTGTATTTGATTTTTATAAGTTATAATTAAATATTACCATTACTGTACAAAATATTATTAGTCATGTTTGTTTTTCTAGTGTCAATACTGTAAATTCTACTCCAAATAATTTGAATAATGTGTAAGTATTTTATTTATTATTACAAATTTAAATTTTAAAAAAAACTTTCTTTTTAGTGTTGTTCAAAATTCAGATGATGAATCTTGCTCACCGAGTATTTGTTCTTCTGCATCTGATAATTATTCACAGTTTGTATTTGATTTTTATAAGTTATAATTAAATATTACCATTACTGTACAAAATATTATTAGTCATGTTTGTTTTTCTAGTGTCAATACTGTAAATTCTACTCCAAATAATTTGAATAATGTGTAAGTATTTTATTTATTATTACAAATTTAAATTTTAAAAAAAACTTTCTTTTTAGTGTTGTTCAAAAAAAAACTTTCTTTTTAGTGTTGTTCAAAATTCAGATGATGAATCTTGCTCACCGAATATTTGTTCTTCTGCATCTGATAATTATTCACAATGTGTATTTTATTATTATTTAAAGCTAAATATTACTATTACTATACAAATTATCATAATTATGTCTGTTTTTTGTAGTTACAGAACACCTAAACGGAGGAAGATAGAATTAAATTGTGATGTGACAACTCCCAAAATGTATGTAATATGTTTCACTTTTTTTAAAACTATTTACCTAAACTAAAACACTCGGGTTATAATAGCATTTTTTATGACTAGATGTCCTAAAAAAAAATTAATTTGGAGTAGTAATCGATTTGGTGATTTGAGTGCAAGTGATTTTGGAACACCAAATTGTGCTGCAAGAAATTTTGAAGTCGTAAAAAGAACTGTCACACAACTGAGAAAAAAAAATAAATATCTCAATCAAAAATGTAAGCGTTTAGAGAAAAAAGTTGTAACATTAAATGACATGTTGGACATCCTTAAGAAGAAATCATTAATGACAGATTTTGCTGCTGATAGCTTAAAGGTACCCATCATTATTTTAGTTCTTAATTTTACTAGTTTGCTAATTTTTACATCTTGGGATAAATTAACCAGATTTTTCTTTGTCTACACTTAGGTACATCAATTAAAACAATGACATTTCATTAACAACAAAATATCAAATATTAAATCAGGGAAAACAAGGTCAAAATTAACGAAATTAGTACATTTCAGACATGAATAACTATTAAGATTTAGAATACCTATGTTAAAATATTATATTAATAATTGTTCTATTATTATTTAAACTGTTTTAAACACACACTTTAATATTATAATTTTAATTAATTAAATCAATTGAATTTATTATATTATTACGTGACCAAAGCCAGAGAAAAGTTATAAACTATTATAAAGCAGCTTAAAACTTTGAAATTTCAAAGTTGAAAGCTATAAATTATAAATTATGATAACTATTATGTTTATTATTATTCTATACTTCTATTATCATTTTAAAAATATATAATATTATCATCTCCTAATGCTGTTATCAATTTGTGTTAAGACCTAGTCTATATCCTCAAAATATTTTCATGTTTGTTCCTCAATGATAAGCATACATGGCCTATCCATTCTATATTATCTATGGTTGTATTATGTATCTGTGTTATCTCCTATCAGATAATACCAGAAAATGTATTATGTATAGATAATAATTATAAAATACTATATTATTATTGCAACAACTAGCCTATTCATTAGATTGAAATAGGTAATATAGATTTAAATTTTACAATTGAAATTCTCGTTCTAAGTCTTGTATTACAGTATAGCATTTATCATATAAAACTGTTGTTACTACCTTCAACAACATGCCGAACGCATATTTACTTTGTCTGAAGCCATCAAAATCACACCCAATTATTTTGTTTCATAAGTAAGTAAAATGTGCTATTATTTCTCAAAATTGATCTTGTTATTTTATATAAATACTGTAAAACCCATGTATAATGAATAATATCCCTAAGGCCTGACAATGATAAAAATATATTTTTCTTTGGTTGTCTTGCTGGATATAATATTCTGTATTTCAGTGAAATATTTATGAAGTTTTAATTTACAACTGTCAACTAAAAATTATTTAAATGTATTCAATCATTTGTGTTGCTGATTATAAACTAAATTAGTAAACTACCTTTTTTAACAGATTTCCAATGAATCCATTGCATAGTAGTTGGCTCGAAGCTTATGGATTTATAAATAATGACTATAGAGTATGGACCTAAAAAAAAATTGTGCTCAATACACTTTGAAGAAGATTGTTTTATCAAAAACTTTAAACAGTGTTTAAAGCTTAAATCAATACCTGCACTACATTTAAAACATAGTAAAAATTAATATACGACATGCCAGAATTTTGTAACTATTTATTAATTTTAAATTTAGATGAATAATTTATAATATATATATATTAACTATTGATTAATATTTAAATTTTTAATTGCAGACATAAGTATAAACAGATATTTGTGATGTATCTGTATTAGAACTTGGAGTCTACAGTTCCAACCAAATGTACATACATTTATGAATCAAAAGAACCTTTGGATTTATTGTTGAGTCCTCATATTGCTATGCACTGACGTCCCGCCATATACATATATACTTGAGATAGGCTTGAGAACGTCATATACATATTGTCAAAATATGCATATTAAAATACCAAATGTTGTTAACCTCGGGGAAGGCTAGGCCAACGATAAAATAGTTAATACAAGTTGTTCTGAGAATTGGATAAGGGAAATTGCGTTGTGGAACACATAAGAATACAATAGGCTAAATCATAATCGATGATAGATACGTTCGCACGATCTACGACAAATAATCAATAATAGGTTTTGATCAGTTTGAAAGACAGTATATTATAGCAATAGAAAATACCTCATTTTCGTCAATAACGAAACGACACAACATGTCACAATTTTAACCATAAAAGCGTAGGATGATAGTGTTTTCTGGAACTTGTGCTCACATAAGCGAAAGTAAACGGGGTCAGCACTATCTTGTCAATAGGAGAGGAGTAGGGAGATTAGGCCTATAAAATAGGGACCTAGCCACCCGATATTCAGACATGATTTGTTAGAGCCAGTACAAGCACCTTCACGCCAGTCAACTATCTGAGATCATTTCAACTGCTCAAAATATTCAAACAGTTTTTACATTCATAGTAAAATCTATGTTAATAATTATAAAATTGACTTATACTTAATACACCTTGTCGTCTATCACCCTTGTACATCAGAATCTGTATGCGAGATCACTACAATATAAATGAATCATTTGATACAACACAAAGTTCTATAACTGGTATGTAATATTTATGAATGATTTATTATAAATTGTATAAATATTATGTGTTATGTTTGTACTTCTTTTACTAAAATTACTTTAGAAACACCTAAGAACAATAATTCAAGAAAATGTTTTGTCTATAATATTATAACACTACACTTTGATACTCCATGACATGCAAAGCATAAATTTAACAAACAGAAATCAATTATTACATCAAAAAATGAGAAGACTTCAATCAAGCTATCCAACTTTGAAGCTTATTTAAATACTTCAAAAATGATGATTATTATACTGATGGTACTCATGATTATATATGGGTAGGTAAATAAACAATAGTACATAACATAAGTACAGAGGTTCTCAAACTTTTTATGATACAACCAATTTTGGGGAATTTTTAAATTTTGACAACCCACAACATACTAATGGCTGTTTTTTGTTGTTTCATTAATAATTGCTAGCATTGAGATAACTTTTAGTACAGCAGTGTCGGAGTGATATTTTACTTTGACACTAGTACACTCATAATCCTCGCAGATTATGATAAAACAATTCAATAATCCGATCAGAACTAAACTGCTCTTATACCAAAGTAATAAATGTATAATATAGTTAACACACAAAATATATAACATTTTTTTTAATGTATATTATATCTTATAGTAATCTAATATTATAAAAAATAACTGTATTTTTCAAAACTGTCCGCGACCCACTTTTGGGTAGGGATCCTTAGTTTTGGAATCTTTGCATTAGTACATTAACATACCATATTTTATGTTCTAAATAATTAATTTAACGTAATTATTTTAAAATTTAATTTATATGTATGATAAAAAAAAGGTCTTAAATCAATTTTAGAAACTGTTACATTTGCTTTTTCAATTTAGTATTGATGTGTTTTTTTTTCCTTAGATCATGTGCAGTATCGTACATTTTTCACAAAAACTTAAATGAACCAAAGAAGTTCTGTAAAACCTTAAAATCAGATGCAGTTTGGGAAATATTGAACAACAGCAGTACCAAATTGATCTTTTTAGGTCAGTTGTGGAATATGGGTCTGTGGTATGGTCTCCAAGGACCAAATGTGACATAACTCAAATTGAATGTGTTCAGCATCGTTTCTTGAATATGGTTTCTCGATATATGTGCATTATTCACGAACCCCATAACTATAAACTCGGCTTAACAGCACTCAGTTTATCCACCCCGAGTGAAAGGAGAAATATGAGTGATATCAAACTTTTAAATGGTTTAGTGGTGTAATTGACTCGCCGGATGTATTATCTAGAATAGGTTTTTGCATTTCTGGTACAACCCGTTCACGAGACCCTTACTACCTTGCTCTAGTGACAAGAAATTATTATCGATGATCCTCTGAGGAGAGCTATGTCTTTAGTTAATAGTCAAACTAATTAAAACATTTTTCTAATTTTGATTTTTGTTTCCATTATATTTAACTTTCAATAGCTTACTATGTAAATAGGTACTTTTAATTTAAACAGGACATGGAGGAGGGGGGAAGTGATGTAATAAAAAACACTCATAATCTAAATTACCCGATGGGTGACCTATTTTATAACTATATATATATAGTACCTATATAATATGTAATATTGTTTAATACATTTCTAGGCAGATACACTCCAGAAGCTATAAAAAGACAGTTGTAATAGACATTATAGATTACTGCATAGTGATGGATGAAAAATTTTTAAAAAAAGTGGTGACATCACATTCAATTAAGTCACTATTAGTACCAATGTCAATTACTTTTGAAAGATTAGCCAGTAATTTTAGAGGTGATACATTGTCAACAAATTCAAAGTACATCTGCAGCATTGTCATTTTAATCTGTCAATATAAATAGTAATACATTCCTACCATCTAAAAAGTATATAATATTTAATATAATTGTTTTTGTTATAAATTTCCTTTGTATAGTTGTATTTATCTAATTTTGATTTAAACAATATATCATACTATTTCAGTGCACAAATTCAATAACAAATCAATTGTTTTTATGAGTAATTTCATTTAAGATTTAACTAAATATAGTTTATAGTTACATATTTATATATATAACCAGGGTGATATACCAAGTATGCTCACCCCCATTTTTCCTTTAATAATGAATATATTCAAATTCTAATTTTTAGAAATTTTAAATATAGGTACTCAAAACCATATTTTTGAATTCTTGAACTTTTTGTACTACTTAAGGAGTGTCCTGTGGCGATACAAACTTTTGTTTTTCTAATGGGGGTCTTTTACTGTTAATGAATAAGTGGATAATTTTTTGAAAATGTTGATATACCACATTCAACATTTAATGAGTAATTTCTTAGTGATTAAAATGTTTGTATTAAGGATAATAGCCCTTAAAACTGGTTTTATATAAACATTAAACATGTGTTATATTGGATCTAGTATTTATTGTAGTTGGATCATTCTAAAAAACTATTAATGCTTATAGATCAGTTAGTCACCCCAATTTTTAAATCACCATAGCTTCCATATCTTATAAATTCATTATTATGGACCTAATCATCAATATCATACAAATCATCTTGTAATAAATAAGTTATATGACACAAAAACAATAAAAAAATACTATAATTAAGTAATTGAATCATATTATTCCATAGATTTTAATGCGGTGGTGGTCATCAATTTCAAAACCATCAAATAATTATGTAAATTATGAGAAACACATGAATATATTTAAATATTTCTACTCACTAATATTATAAAAATGTGTTTATGTATATTGTATGTGGCCCACGACAACTACTCGTTAAATATGGTCTAGTCCCNCCCCCAAATGTTAGACACTCCTGACTTCTGCTGTAGATCCTAATAGATTTTTGACTCATATGATTTTTTTTTAAATGTGCATTCCTGTTTTAAACTTATAAGAACTTTTTCTTTAACCATAACTATGGATTATAATTTTTTATAAAAACAATATGAAAATAAAGTCATATTAACTATAAAAAAGAGTGTATCATTTTGTTTTTGTTTTTTTTTTAAACTTTATTATTGTAACATTTTTTTACCTCTGAACTCTGAAAAATAATTCATAACTCAGACTTCAGGCTTTTGGTTTTAATTAATTGTAAATTGATAAGTTTTAATAGAAACAACATAATACAAATTGTTGGTTAAGCACCTACAAATTATATTTGATTTCAAACTATAAATATGGCATTGAAGATAGACTATTAAAGTATGAATTATTTAATCAAATATTAGTGTTAAATTTAAGAGCTCAATAATTGTATAATTTTTCTGTGCTGCAAAATAATTTAAATTTTCTTATTTTTCCAACATCCTGTTGTTCTTACTTCTAATTTCTTTTCTTTTTGCCCTTTAATTTTAAATTATTTTAATAATAAGCAAGTTAAAACTTTTTGTTTAAAAATAAGCCTGCAGTTGTCAAATCATAATCATATGTTATCAATTAAAAAAAATTCCAAGTAATAGCGCTCAATATTTTAAAATTCATCAGGCCATACTAAAATAAATTTACCCATGAACATTTCCCTGCATTCAAATTTTTTCATAGATTATGAGTCTCATCAACAATATTTAAAACTTAAATATAATAAATAATTGATTACCTATTTTACTCATGGAAACCAAACCAATAACTAATGCATAAAAAGCTTGAAGAAGACAATCGCACCATCTAAATAAAAATGCACTTAATGTTTAAGATTATTTTTACAATACCTACTTAAATAATAAATAATAGTTAGCTTATATTTTGTATTGTAACTTTTGTACAAGCAAATGTTGTAAATTTAAATGAGCGAATACCGTTGATCTTTAAGCTTAGAAAATACATCTACAGCTTCTTCTAGATTAATATTATTCACCTCTTTTTTTTTTCAATATTAAATACCATGCGGTCATTTAAACTGTCATCGTCTATAGTAGTGAGTAAATATGACTACTCTTTTGAGGGATGGTGAAAACCATCTATTTTATGTTGTTGTAATTGGTAAAGTTTTTACTTAAGTTTAATAACGTTTGGTGAAATATCAAGAGCTTACATATGATAAAAAAAATTGTTGTGTGTTTGGTAAATATTTTCGAGTAGTTAAGGGTCAAAATCGATTTTGAGTGTGCAATCACTTTATAATTTTATAAAATAGGTAAATATTTTGTGTAAGGGGCACGTTGATGGACAACGACTGTGTAATCTCTCTAATACTGTAAAATCGATGCTCTTTGAGGTAGAATAGCCATCTCAACCTTCGACATTGGTTAATTACCAATGGTAAAAAAATTAATGAACTATGAATATACTACTCATGAATCATGATTGACAGTAAAATTAAAATATTGTGATTTGTTGTGAATATAAAAATACAATTGAATTTTGATTATATTTATATAAATCATGGTGCATTATTTGAGCTGGCCAATTGGAACTATTTATCCATCTCAAAACTAAGGGTGAGCTGACTCCCTGACCCTTCCACCTCTAAATGACGTTGATGATTGTCACACCAGTTACCAATTAAGGTTCCTCTGTGGTTTTTTTAGAAGTTATCAGAATAATTATACAACTAACTCTCACGCTAAGCTCCTAGTTGTGATTTTTTATATTTTGTATCTCAAGGGAATGTTGCTCCGGTGATTCCGGTAATGTTAAACTTCCACACTAATATCATTTTCATTCATAGGTGATAGACCAATAACCTTTGTAATAATATTCAAGAACTTTTGCTGAAACATGATACATTTTTGTGGCTTATTGCTTATATGTGTTATTTGTATTAATATTTTTGTATTACCTATTCATTTGCATGAACCTCACAATCAATAATAAATTCATTAATGGAATTCGATACCGTTTTTAAGGAGTTCAGTATAGGCAATTTTCTAAGTGTATGTATGTTGTGTGAATACTAAATTATGTGTACGTAGAAAGTGATCATTAGGATGACTATAGTGTACGTACATTTTATTGTAAAATAAATAGCGGAGAACTCCCGTATGCATTGTCAGTAAAGCGCTTCACAAATATAAATTATTATTATTTATTTTTCACATAAAATTATCAATATTTTCCATTTGATAACATTTCTGAAAACATATTTAAAAACGTATTGAAGTTGACTTTCTTTTCATTTTAATTCAAAATTATACAACCGTTTTTAATTTTTTACGATTCAAAATTTAAAGAACAAATTTTATAAAGTGTAAGTTGTAACGGTTCATTTCAAAAACAAAATAGGTCTGTTTTTGTAGAAGACGCCGCAGGATTGAATACTCTTGAATTCAGTACCTATAGGTAGGTACTAATGTATTAAAATATTTTCTAGACAATAGATCTGCAATATGCTTTTCATTATCTGGCAAATAATTAATTTTTAAATCTTAAATCAAAAGTTAAAGTTTAACTTTTTGTTATATATTTGATTTTTTTTCATCAACAGCTAAAGAAACTAAATCCTGTTAAAACTATCACATTGAATGTTATATTATATTTTAGATCAAAATAATTTAGAACATGGCAATAAGAAGCTATATATTAGGAATATTATTATATTTTAAAATATTTATCACTTCACATTAGGCCATGTATTTAGCAAACATTTTTTTTTTTGTTATAATCAGTAATTATTTTATTGAAGAAATGTGTTCGAGAGAGTAAAATAGTGACATATTTACTATTTAGTCCATTTAATCAATAATTATAAATAATTTTATACATTTTATTACTTAAGTAGATTCCTATTTCATCTATTTTTGGTATCAAATAATAATATAATTAATATAATTTTTATATTTTTACCTTAAAAAACTTTGAATTTGACACTTTGTTCACTTAAATTTAAAACTACCAATGGACGAAAGGTCTTATATATAAAATGTATTATCCTCAGAAATGATCACTATTAACATTAGATACACACCTAATCATTATTATTATTACTTATTCGTCATCATAATTTTAGAGTACTTACTACTTAGGTAACACTAGTTCTTTAATAAAACGTATTGTTCAATGCCCCAACCCCGCATAATATGCTGGTAGTATTTAATTTATTTAGTTGATATTACAAATATACAGGGTGATCTATGTAAGGGAATTTAACCTAACCTGTGAATATTTTCATATTCTTGAGATTTTTTTGTACCACTTAAGGAGTGTTCTGTGGTGATACAAACTTTTGTTTTTCAAATAGGAACCCCACTTTTTTACTGTTAATTATTTAGTGGATAAGTTTTTTGAGAATTTTGATGTAGGTATGGAAATCAAAATTCGAAAGCGTAGTTTTCTAGTTATTACACATTTTATTTTAAGGATAGTATAGTTTATAATAGGGAAGAAGGATATGCTTTACACTTTACAGTACACGTTGTTATCTATAGTCTATACAGATAATATAAAATAATACGTCATTTTATATTTATTTAGTCAAACACTTAGGTAAATAGCAAGTAAAATCCTTCTTGATTTATTTAGTTATTTTTCTTATTCCATGTGTAAAACTGTATAAGCATATCCCTATTATGGACCATTATCCTTAGTACAAATTGTCCAATAACTAGGAAACCACTAGTTCGAATTTTGATTTCGGTACATCAAAATTCTCAAAAAAGTTATCCACTAAATAATTTAAAGTAAAAACGTGGGGTTCTCATTTGAAAAATAAAGGTTCTTAAAGCCACAGGACACTCCTTAAGTGGCACAAAA